AACACTTGTCAATAAACAATTTGTGAGGTTAAATGGTGAAGTTCACGTGGGTAGTCCAGAAGAACGGCATCAGCCGCCACCCTAGACAAGCCGTGCCCCAGTCTTATTCATGATAACTTATTATATGAATATATTTATGGACCTGTCAAGCTCCCTTCAATTTTAGAAACTATCACTTACACCCCCTATTTCACCTTTAAGATAACAAAACAAACCCAATATACTGGCCTGGAGATAAAATTCCCATGAACACCCTAAAATGATCCTCCCATGAACAAATTTTAGAAAAAGGATAAGGAATAATAAACAACGATTGAGTTGTATTTGAACTCAAATAGCCAAAGAGCCAAAGCACTTCATTAGCCCTCACTTCTTATCCTATAAATAAATTCCCATGAATAACCCAAAATGACACTCCTATAAATAAATTTTAGAAGGGGATAAAATTTCAAGGAATAATAAAATACAAGGGATAATATCAGAAACCTCCCTTGAAGTTTCTTCTAATATTAGTTGGCACCCTTAAAATTTTAAAAATAATTGTAAAAAGCTATATTAACTTTTATTTGATGCATAATTCACATATTAAATAAATGAAACTTAAAAATTTTTTTTAAAAAAAAGAAACAAAAGTCACTTTCTTCTCTTTCCCTTTTCTCCAACGTTTTCTTTTACTCATTTTTTTAGATGACTATACAATATTTCATTTGTAAATTATAATAAATTGAATCTTATTTATCTTTTGCTTTTCATGATTGTGATGGAGTGGGGTATGATTTATTTGTTTATTTTGAGATGATTTTTATAATGATTGGTGTAATTTAAAAGTTTAGGCACGAGTTGAGAAGAGGTTGGAAAAAATATAAAGTTCATAAGAAATCAGTTTTGAACATATAGAGTTAAATTGGTGCAAGTGTATTTCTTTGCAAATATGTTTTTATTTTTCAAATTTATTTTTTTATGGGATATAACATTATGATGTGACAGTACTATCAAAGATTATTTTTTAGGTGATGATTTTTTTAAGTAAATAAAGTGGTATAGGAATATTTTTATTTGGCACGTAAAAGAGCAGTTAGGATTTTTAAAAAATTCGTTACACAAATAACAAAAATAAGGGAGGTAAGTGATATTTTTAAAACTTTTAAGATACCAGATGAATTAAGAGAAACCTTAGGGAGGATACTGATATTATCCCATAATACAAAACAAAGATTGAGTTATATGCTTGCCTCATTCTCCCCTTATAATTGTGTCTCACCCAAATTCATGCGTCTCTTTCCCAAATCATGTGGTCCATGTCCTCTTCTTCTACCACTGCCACACTTCCCTCGTTCCTCTTTTTTTCCAGAAAAGTACAGACAAGTACGTGTTCCCGCACCCATGGACCATGGCTGAATCCTCTATGAAGAAAAGTTGATCTCCTAGGACTTTTGAGTGACATGACGAAAGGAACCCATCGGTAGCTGGAAAATTGATTGTGGTACTGCAAATCACAAGATTGAGGCTGGTATGCAAGTATATGTGGCTGAATTCACGATTTCTTGTCTACTATTGCTTGGACTATGTTGTGATTTTCTTGCATGTTTGATAGCTTCATGGTTTTGGACACTATTATTCACCTTTTTTTAAAAAAAATTTTTTTGCTACGGCAGGATGTTTATAACTGCTGACAGAGATGAGGATTAGAAGGCAAGGGAAGATTTGAAAGGTGACGGGTGTTTTATGAGGCTGGCCAAGTAATTGAAAAAGGGTAAGATTTGATGAGGGGTGAAAAGGGTGGAGGAAATGGAGTTGGAGTCTTCTGGTACCTTCTTCATTTTCATTTTGGTTTTTCGCATTTTTTTTTTCCTGAAAATTATGGTTAGGAGTCAGGCCCTTTAAGATAGTGAAGGGCGGTAATTGTTATTATACAAATCTGAGGGGAGCTTCCTGTAATTAGGCTAAACCTCAGGGAGATATGTGACATTATCGCATATATGTTATACGCATGAAAAACATTCTTGCTGCTTGTTTGCATTTCCTAAAGAAATATATTTGTTGTAGATAATCAGTAGGTGGTGGAAGTTTGTTTCTGGACGGTAGAATGGGTTCCGGATCAGCATCATCAAACTCAAAAAAGTCTTTGACATTCAGGGTGACCAGACAAAAGCCTGAGCTGGTCCGTCCGGCCAAGTCCACCCCTAGGGAATTCAAGCTCCTCTCTGACATCGACGATCAAGAGGGTCTTCGCACTCAACTCCCTGCCATCCATTTTTACCATAACCATAATAATGATCCCAGGATTAATGGGACCAGGAGGAGATTAGACCCCGTGAAGGTGATCAGGGAGGCTATTGCGAAGGCTCTGGTGTTCTACTACCCGTTTGCTGGGCGGCTGAGAGAAGGCCCCGGAAGAAAGCTGATGGTTGAGTGCACGGGAGAGGGTGTTCTGTTCATTGAAGCCGATGCAGACGTGACGCTGGAGCAGTTTGGGGATGCGTTTCAGCCTCCATTCCCGTGCTTGGAGGAGCTCCTCTATGATGTTCCTCACTCTGGAGGAATCCTTCACTGTCCTTTACTGCTTATACAGGTACAACCCAACAACTGTTCCACTCTTTTGTGTCTTGTTTTTTTTGGTTCGTGAATGTGGAGGTGTCCCCATCACTCTTTCCCAGATTCTTCTAAGTTTCTCCAAGGAAGAGGTAAATTGATAGTTGAATACTTGGCAATACTACCTATTCTTAACGGTAGAAAAATGCTACCCTCTTTTTTGGTACATATCCATGATTCTAATCTACACTCTTTTAGATAAATCTCGCCTAGTTTCGTCTAAGGTGGCGTCTCACATAAATTGTCAACTTCAATGATAAATGTCTGCTCCCATGGGTAGTCCGATTGATTGGTTCTGTAACCTGATAGTTACTAGTAGGTCCGTGATCAACTCTTGCGTGCTACCTCGCTGTGTATCATTGGGACAAGACTTTACATAACCTTAAGAATTAGTCCAGCGGAAAGGTTGGAATATCCTTTAAGTAAAAAAAATATGATAAATGCCCCACAAGTAGGCCTGGCCCTGTCCACTACCAATTAAATTGTTCAGGGAGTGGGCTTTATATTTTGTTCTTACACTTGCAATCAATTACTGAGTGCCAATGGGAATTCTGTAAAATGCATCTACAATTATTGTATGAAAAAATTTAGTATCACGATACGGAGTAACTATTTGGATGAAACTCTTTGGTAGAATTATAAATTCTTAGTTACGATAAATAGCAATTGGAAGTCATAGTAGTGGGTATTTTCATATTTTGTTCTAGTAAGTAGCAGCTAATTAACTAGCTAAACTATATTATTCACTGATCATGTATATAACTGTAATGGTATTGTACTATATATGGTTTCGGACAGGTACGATTGGTTTTAGGTACTGTTGGTATGGTTATTATACTTTTTCATGATACTTTGTTGTATTTCATGATGTACAATAAAAGTTATAGAAATGTACATCAAATCATGTAATACAACAAAAGTTATTTGAGTGTACACAAAACCATGAAATGTGTACAACAATCGCACCAGTTATACTTAAGAGCAAATGTACCTGTCCAATTCCCATCATGTAAAACGTTTACGCAGGTAACTCGTTTAAGATGCGGTGGTTTCATCTTCGCACTTCGCCTAAATCACACCATGGCTGATGGTGCTGGACTCAGTCAGTTCATGCATGCTGTGGGAGAAATCGCACGGGGAGCCTCTGTCCCATCTATACAGCCAGTATGGCAGAGAGAGCTCCTCAATGCTAGAGACCCGCCAAGGGTGACGTGCACCCACCACGAATACGACCAGGTAGCTGATACCAAGGGATCCATCATTCCCCAGGATGACATGGTCCATCGTTCTTTCTTCTTTGGCCCGGCAGAGATCTCAGCGCTGAGAAAATCGATCCCTCTTGACCTTAGTCGCACGTGTTCAACGTTTGATGTTCTGACAGCCTGCCTCTGGCGCTGCCGAACCATCGCCCTCCAGCCTGAACCTAACGAGGAAGTCCGTGTGATGTGCATTGTTAATGCTCGTTCCAAGTTCAATCCTCCCTTGCCCCAAGGATACTACGGCAATGCTATAGCATATCCAGTGGCGCTGACAACAGCCGGAGAACTATGCAACAAGCCTGTGGGATATGCAGTGGAGCTGGTGACCAAGGTCAAACGTGTTGTGACAGAAGATTACATGAGATCTGTGGCTGATTTAATGGTTATTAAAGGGAGGCCTCATTTCACTCTGGTGAGGACTTATCTTGTGTCGGATGGTACCCGGTCTAGGTTGACTGACGTGGATTTTGGTTGGGGAAAGCCGGTGTATGGGGGGCCGGCCAAGGGTACTGTTGCCAGCTTTCACATAGCTTTCAAGACCAAGAAGGGGGAGAAAGGAAGAATAGTTCCTATTTATCTGCCGGGTTTGGCAATGGACAGATTTGTGAGCGAGCTGAAAAAATTGTTGAGCAACAATGTCCATCTTGGTGCCATTACTGATCGCTCCATCTCCGTCAAATCAGCCTTGTGAACTAACTTTCTTTCTGTACCTGATCAAGTCCACCTCTGTATTTCTCATATCATTCGGATGTCGCCTGTCTAACTATTGTCAGGATTCACTCACTCACTCTTAATCACCAAATTGAGTACACACTACACACCGATTATTTACTCTACCAAAAGACGCAAAAATTCTAATTTACGATAACAAGAAAACGTAAGGAAAAACCCTTGATTATATGTTTAATTGCAATTATTGAGGGGGTGAATGAGTAGTAAAACTATTATAAAATAATGGATTCCAAATAAAAGGGAATTTTAAGAAAATATGAGGGATTTTACAAGTCCTCACAATCACACTACCAAAATGCACAAAAAAACACACCAAAACCCTAGTATGCACAAAAATCCTAACTTATGCCCTTCCTTTAGAAAAATCATAACTTGAGTTATAAGTATCAAAAATTCATACAACTTGGCTTGGTAAAAATTAGACTTCAAATACTAAATCTCTTTAAGGTGTCTTTTGAGTATAGTTTCTATCATTTGTGACCGAGCGAGTGGTACAATCATTCTAATTAGACAAAAACATGTCTCTTCTTCTATTATACCGCCACATGAATGCTTCAGCCCAAATTGCAAATAATTCATGTAAGTTTGGATCAAAATGTTGCACCAGATTGGCCGGATTTTTTCCGATTAGACCGAGATATGTTCTTGTATTACTACCTCTAATCTAAATCTACATGAGCCTAAGAAATCTACAATGTGGGTATTGTCGAACCATAACATTTTATCCAAGAGTTGAGGAATCCAATGAAGTGAGTCTAGCTGAAACTTCTCCAAAGACTGACCAATACCATAATTTGATGTTGGATCTTTCACTTGCTAATTGTAATGGTTTTTAATTCACACTTTTTACTGATGTCGCAGATGAATAATGGGGCATGACCTACGGACTGGAACTTGCACGGGAGAAGGGATACAGTCCATAGGATGTTGTAGTGAAGGATGGAGTAAGAACAGCCCACACTTCAACATCATGCCATCAGAGTTGGAGCCATGATCATCAGCAGGACCTGCTGATTCTCTGCAATCCACCAGATGTTTTTGAATAGGCACAATTTGTGTTTTTTAATGTAATGGGGTTACTAGTCGTCAATCAGTTACTCTGTAATGGGTCTGAGGCTTCCCAATGCACCTGAAAAAGAAAAATCATCATACTTTGAAATCTTAATAGAGTAGTTAAATCCACAACTTTCCAGCTTAATTTGACTGATTACCATTTGTTTGTTTTTTAAACAAAGAAATTACTTGGAGATCGTATTAAAGCTCTTAATACTATGAGAAGTTCCTCCTCATGATCAAAATGATTGAACCCATTCAATTCATTGGCCCTTTGAATCTTTGATATATCAACATGATACAAAATTTGTATATTATCACGAAATTCTAAAATCACCCTTCAATTTAAAGTTAATATAATGTCCAAAATATGAGGACAAACATATACTTTTAGAAAAATTTAGATAAAAATGAAATTTTAGAAAAAAAATTATATTTTCTTTGTTTTCAATGCTATTTATTAAATTGCTACCACTATGATCAGTGGCGGAGCCATATATAATTTTCCTCCCTCCCTCAACATTGAGAAAATTGTTTTTTAGGCTTAAAAAATTTCAAGAATTGCTCTCTATTTGCCCCCTCCTAAAATCTTTAAGGCTTTCTTTTCCAAGTGCATTGCCCCGCAACATCTATAAAATTCTCTTTTCAGGTGCTTTGCCCCCTCCCCCTCCCTGACATCAAATAATTAAAAATTTCATAATTGTTACTATTTACAATAATGTTAAAAACATAGATATTAATCCAAATATAAGCTCTGTCGATATTTCTAAACACAAATTGGTAGAGTGATTTTTATTATTAAATTTAGGTCTAATTTAAACTTAAAAACATATTTTATATAGGAAAAATATATATGTTTTACATAGATTTTCATTTAATTTAATTCACTATTACTGTGTTCTACATACTGTCGGAGATTGACCCCCTTGACCTTAGGGTCTTCACTTCGCCACTGATCGTGATAAAAAAAATTTTATACTTATTTTGTCTCATATAAAAGAGCAAATACAGACCCCAGTGGCAGCTAAGAATAAAGCTTTGCCATCTTTGCCCTCATCATTGCCTTAGCATCCTTCCACCCTTTCCAAAAGTTGGTAAAATTATCGACGGACGAGAGATATTAGGAGAAAAAGAAAGAAAAGATGAGAAGGCAATTGTGTGGATAAGGTTGGTAGGCCAAAGGCTTGCCGCAAATAGTTTTTTATGCAATCCATAAAACAAGCAATGTTTTCAAGCTTATTAGACTGATATTTTGCTAAACGAAGTGTCATCTAGCTACCATAGTCATCATGTTTGATGTTCCCGTCTCTTCATATCATCCACACAAAAAAAAAAAAAAAAAAAATCATCCACCATAAAATTTTTAAAATTTGCACGATAGTGACACAAGAGCTAACTTTAATTTGTTGCTTTGCTAGCATATCAAAAACATTTTTTTTCTATAAAAAGGAAAATGATAATTATTTCAAATTGGACGAAGGCATCAACAATATTGAACTATCTAATTGGTCCAAAATATTTTATTTTCTTTTGCTGAGAAACTACTTTTTAAGCAAAAACATTTTGGAGAAAATAAATTACATAATTTTAAGCATGAACGAGATGAAAAATGATTGTTTATCCTGTTGCCTAATGTCTATGTGAAGTGATTATTACAAACAAAGGCACATTATTAAGAGAGGGAGAAAATGTACTTTAAAATTATCTTTGTGCATGTAAAGAACTGTGCAACATTTCAGGTAAAGAACACGAATATCAAAAGGGTTATACGAATATCCTCCACAGTAGATAAATCAGGAACGGTGCACAACCAACTCTCCAAAATAAACGAGATTCATCAAGAATCTTAACCCAAGACGCACCCAATAGGACAAGGTATGAGACCCAAACAAAACAACAGCTGTTAAAGTTGATAAAATACGTCAAAAATCTGAATGATGATAATAGCCTTAATAAACCTAGTTATAGGCACACAACCACTGCTAAAAATACGCAAGGAATTGAAAACAATTAGACTAGGAAACTACTTAACTAAAAAGAAACTCTTAAAACATTTAATTAGAATAGGAAATGAAATACTATGAAAAAAGGAAAACGAAGTAAAACGAAGTTACTGTCAGAACGGTGTTCAGCCCCGGTCATAGAGCCGGACTTGGTCTGGTCTCATTCTACATCAGTCCCCTCAACTTCGAAAGAACTCGACCTCGAGTTCCATGGTAAATTCATTACGCATATATGAACAAATAATCCCACAATCCTTCCTCAAAGTTTATAGGGGCACCTGGTTCAAAATAATTGATTTCCCTGAGTCTTATCTTCCTTTGATGAAAGATTGCGAACCATATACACGGAGTACTGCTTGTCTTGAAAAAAGTTCTCTCTAGAGCTACGGTTTAACTCAACAAAACTTGCCAAAATTTCATCATCCAAAGATAAGACCTCATAACTGGCTATCTAGGATTTGGGGCAGGGACGGTCATCAGTATGACCGTCCCTGCACGGTTAAGGGCCAAGATTTGCCCTCAAAATTTTGTGCGGCTGAAATTACACCATGTAACTCGATTTCCGCGCTAAATGTGGGGCTCACCACTATCTGTTCTGAAAATACATCCTGTGAAAAAAAAGTTACATCGTGTTTAACCAATGTTACGCGCAGTGCAAAATGAGGACAACCGCCACAAACGGTTGCAGGTGCAACCGTTTGTGCCCCGTATCCGGCTATCTATAAGGTTGATATAGACCATGTTGAATAAGGGCGCAATCATGAGCAATTCTCCTAGCACGATCACCCTCTTCTCCATGATCCAATGTGTGGTGTGCATTAGCAATCATCACAAGAGAAGTATGCTCTGATACCAACTGACACGGCACGGAAGGGTGATAAATCAAGGAATACACAATCAATTTTTCAAAATAAACAACATTCAATAAGAATCTTAACCCAAGGCGCATCCGATGGGGCAAGTTATAAAACCCAAACAATACAATAAGTATTAAAATTGATAAAATATGTCAAAAGACTGAATGATTATAATAGCCCAAATAAACCTAGTTGTAGGCATACAACCACTACTAAAAATACTAACGAACAGAAAACAATTAGCCTATGAAAGTAATTAACTAATAAGAAACTTCTAAAACATCTAATTAGAATAGGAAACAAAATAATACGAAAACAGGAAAACAAAATAAAACGATATTATTGTCGTGATGAAGTTCGATGCTGGACTTGCTTTGGTCTCGTCTATATTAAGGTGACTTGGTAAATGAGTTTTGACAACCAAAATAATTTACGTAACATAATATTAGTTTCTAAATAATAAAATTACCATAATTTGACCCCAATAAACTACTAAAAACTTAATTTGAATAAAATACTACGCTAAACAATACTATAGAAAATTCTACTTCATAGGCTTGATTTAATATGCCAACATTATCTCCCTTAAATCAAGTTCTCAATCCAAAACGATCCCTAACATTAATATGTCTTGTAAATTCTACAAGCATCAATTTGAACTCTTCATCTTTAAAAGGTTTTGTTGCTGTAATATTTCACGCATCTGGACTGATTCATCTTGTCACTCAATTTGTTTTTGACTTGCTAAAATAATCCATGCTTCTAGATAGGCTGTTTTCATCACACAAATTTAATGTCAATTATTTTAATAATCACAACGTATTTTATAGAATTCTTCTCTGATCTCTATCTTTGCAACAATTTTCGGACTAATCTTATAGTCCATCTTCATCGACTGGATACTAACCTTATAGTCTAACTCAATCAACTGACTTTTTTCTGAATAAATCTTGTGACTCAACTCTAAAAGCAGAAGCACCCGAACTAATTCCATTGTTGGGCCAATTCTTCAATTTTCACAGGCATCCCAAAATTAATTTCTTAGACCTGGAGTTCTGGTGCTAGATGTAGAATCCAAAATTTTCATCAAAAAGCTATAGAAGATCAATTTTATAAAACCAATATATATGGGAAGACAATTTATATGCATAAAAATATGTGTGGGAAAAAAAGGAATAAATCAATAATTTACTATCAATAATGCAATAAGAACAAGCCTATCAAACTTTAACTCTTCTCAATTGACAAACATATTAAGACTCCCTATTTATAAACTATATGACTTGATAAACAAGTCTTAACAATCACAATAAATTACCTAACATAATATCAGCTTCTAAACAAAAAATTACCATAACTTTACCCCAATCAGCTATTAACAACTTTATTTGACTAAAATACTACTATTAAATAATAATATAGAAATTTCTTTTTCTTAGACTTGATTTAACATGCCAATAAAATTTGTAGAACAATCTGAAATGCAATTGATTACTTAAATCCTAGAAACTAGAACAGATGCCCAAAACTTACTTTCTTAAGAGACTAAAGAAGCTCATCTGGCTAGGGGCAGGTACCTTTCTTCAAGGTGAAAATAATTGCATTAGAATTGGATTAAGGAAAAAAAAAAAACCTAGTTTGAGTTCAGTCTAATCTCTTCATTGGAGACATCCCTGTTGGTTTCTTGAGTTTCGTTGACCTCCATGGTAACATGGTCCAGCCCCTTTTGATACACAAATGACAGTGAATAGTCATCTTTTCTCTGGGAAAATCTCCTCGACGGCTTCTTTTATTGTTTGAATTGGAGGGTTATCTTCTTTTGGGTTCACAATAAGCGAAGCCGCGGAATTTTTTTCCCCCAAAGCTTGAAATTATGAATTGTCTACTCCATTCTCAATATTTCCAAGCATACATGGTAAAAGTGGAAAGAAATTCTTGTCACCATATATACCCTATTTCACGTGCGCTAGGCGTGCCTAATCTGTTAATAGAGCACATCAGCTTCAAATATATATGTTACAATTGTTAAGTTATACATAGTCTACAAGTTACTTAGGCTATAATTTTCAGCTCAACCATGTAGATGAAAAATTGAAATTCAGTGTATTTAGTTTAAGGGTTTTTTTTTGGGTAGGTTAGTTTAATGTTTTTGTTAGTTGAAATTTCATTACCCATCAAGACCTCACCTTTGCTTTCTTGCACACGGGGTATATAAATAGTATTGATTGCAAATATCCTTGTGAAAAAAAATTTATTTGAACAAGACCGTTATTCTTCATTTAGTG